AAGTTTTTGTTGTAAACATATTTTTATCACAGCTATAACCGGAAGAAAACTGTAGAGATGTTAGTCTTCAAAGTTCAAAAGTACAGAAGTAATATTTGTACCATGGTCATATGGAACCCTATTTGTTTTACATTTCAGTATTTGTGTATGACTTAATAACATATTTTATTATTTCCGTTTAAATGCTCTGGAATTTCCCTTTACAATCATGCTCTAACCCTAACCCTAACTTCTGGAGTGAAGCCAGAAATAAGCAGTTAAAATTAATATACATATGTTACCCGCCGGTATCAATCTTAAAAGTAACGTTAGAAATTATGACGTTGCAAGCGACGTCAGAAGTCATATAGCATACTTCTATGTATGACGTGGTGTCAAATCATCAAACATTGACGGACTGACATATTTTTTATATCATTGTGATCAGAAATGTCTCTAGATTTCGAAATCATAAAAATCACGAAATTGATTTTTTACTGCTTAAGGACCCTAATCCAAGCCGGCGGCTCATATATAGCATGGCATCAAAAGGTGGCTGCCTCCAAGGATGTCTTCTAGGTCCATTTTCAGTCAGTCTGTGTTAGTAGGGTAGGTATAAAAGACAGGCTGGTAGACTATGTTCCCGGTTCTCAATTCAAATTTTAAAAAATGTTAACAATATCCTAAAACTATTTTATAAGGACTTACGAAGATGAGACATCTAAGAAACCCTATAAAAATAGACTTTGAATGTTCAAGTGTGACCTTTTTGGTCGATATTTTTAATGGTAAGCCGGCTGATTTTATATAACTGACTTAAAACATACAAAATACATATTAATGGAATGCTTAGTGTCTCCACAATCATAATTTGAAACATCTACAAAAATTAATCCTGATTGTGTGTACCTACAATGTATGGCAGCAAATATCGGGTGAAGGTACCCCCTGATTTTCACGGAAAACACCAATACAAGCCCTACGAGCGTCACATGTAAGTAGTTAAAATGCTTATAAATAGATACATCAAAGTATGTTTATGTTATTTAAATCAGTGTTACTTTTAAATATTGATACTGAATTTCTTTTATATGGATACTAAGAGATTCAATACCGCTGAGACGTCTTGAAAAGGGAAACAAAATCTGTCAAACAGTAGTTTCCTGTAGTAAGCAGTATGCATGCAGTTGTCTTACAAATATTTGTATACGTCTGTGGTATTAGGATGAATTTGTGGTATGCCACCAATGATAACGCGGTTATCTCCCTTTATCTCGTTTTGAAAGCCTCGGGTTTTATCCATGCGTAAGAGGCTATGTTCCGAAGTGTTCCACTTAAGACCAAAATACACATTACACGTGCTGAAGGACAAGTAAGTAAACAAACTGTACATGGAACTGGGTAAGTTGAAAAGGATATTGATTCGACTTAATCGGCATGACAATGTTTGAGAATCTTAAATAGGATTGTAATGTGAGATTATTTTAGGGAAGGGACAAGAAAAAATTCTTTCACAATGACTGACTTTCACTTTATCTTTCAAAGTTACCTGGTTACAGATCTAGAGTTTCCACTGGCCCTGAAACCAGACTTAAACATTTTGACAGATATATGTCTGCTCTCACCAGAAAGATATCTGTCAAAACGTCTAAGTCCGGTGTCAGGGCCAGAGGAAGTTCTGACTAGTTAAATTTAAAGATCGTTCAACAGTAACCTAAATTTATGTAACTAAAATAAAGACTGCAATCAGGGATGTGTAGATCCCTGCTGCAATATAGCGCATACACACACGGAGAGGGGTATTATTCGATGTCAATGAGGATAATGAACTGACTATGCCTATCTACTTTATAAAAATAACACAATTGAGCCCTATCATTTTTCAAGGAGATAATAAGTAGTTTTTAGGTTGGGAGCATTCCTATATGTGATTGGGATTTTATTTTTTTAATTTGGACGTTATCAAAGTTTCTAAATAGGTAGGTAGGTAAGTAACACATTTTATTTTAACAAATATTTTGTATGTGGTTTATATAGGAGAGTGATCTTGACATTAACAGTGCCTTTGGAAATTGCCTTAACAAGTTTATAGGTTCGGCACAACAAACTAGGTTAGGTACATAGGGTTACCAGAAACACCAGATATTTTTGGCCTAACCAAGACGAAGCTAGTACCTCTGCTATAACCAAATACATATTGGTGAGTATATAGAGACGAATACAACAAATGAAAAATTTCACTTTCAGGATTGAGCCAGGGTCTGGCCCTACCCTTGGGTGTACATAGTCCTTGGGTCAAGATTTTGAAACAATTGAGATTCCGACCCCATAACCATATATACAAATGTTGGGCATAAAGAGATAAACAGTCATCATATTAGAGTTGACTCTGGCATGGGGTGTGGCTCTACCCCTTGGGACCTAATTCCTGGGCCATAACTTTGTAACAGTTGAGATCCCCACCCCATAACCATGTATATATTGCTGGGCAAAAAGATCCAGATGAACGACACAGGAATGCCCTCTGGGCGGGCCTCTTGTTAAAATAATGCCAATTTTTTTAGATGCTATTACTGTAAAAGGTTATGGTACGATCATTCAAATATTCCTCAGCAAAATATTTAGAAAAAATGTAATCAACCCATATGCATGAAGTAGTTGAAAATATACCAAAGATGAAAAATGTTGGCAAAAATAATTAATGAGCGCTGTTTTATAACCCCCAACAATTGTGATTCCTGAATATGTTCCATTTATTATTATATTTTAATTTTCTCCATAAAAATAAGGGAGTAAATATATAAAATGTTTTTAAGAAAAGTTTTTTTTATATTTATAAAGAAAAGTTTAAAATACACCCTAAATAAATAAAAATAAATGATTGCATGAAAATTTCACTAAAAAAATATAAGTGACATAAAAAGACTTAAACATTCACAATACAAACCTGTTCCAAAGTAGTGTCAAATAGTATTATCAGAAAAGTGGAGGACTTAGATAAGATGTTTTAAAAAACTTCAGTTAGTATGCAGAACATTAAAATTCTTCAATAAACCATGAGATAATTTTGAAAATATTTCAATAATGAAAATTCTCAAAAAAAACCTAATACAATTTATTCATGAAGCAAGACACACTTTAAAAAGATGTTTGTTTTAAGGGACATAACTCATACTGTTTTTGAGGATTTCATCTGTCCTCCAGAAATGGTGAATAGGATATCGATATGCCTTCTCATAATTTTATTTGGGTCAAATTCATTATTGTCAGTATTTAATTCATGAACCAACAATAACACGGAAGGAATTAATTGGAAACAAGCCTGGATGTAAGCACACACACTATTTAGATATAAAGGTGTATATTATCATAGTTTAATATCTAAGTTTGTGGACAAGTTAATGTGTGATGGTGCATGTATGTTAACATGTATATGAATATACAATTTATGCACAAATGTAAACGTTTCGTGTACAGGAATGTAAGGATGTATGTTCATGTTTAATTTATTCTGTTTTAGCATTTACGTAATGTGTACCCACTATTGGGTTTAGATAAGATATTTTGTTGAAATCATCAGTTACAGTTAGATATATAAATGAAATGAGCATCACTTTGCAATTTTACTTTTCAGCTGGTTAAAAATATATCACTGGTTCCTCTTTCCGCACAAAATGAGAAAGACATTAAGATTGATTTCCTTTCATTTATATTTGAAACCAGACAAAACAACCTACAAGAAACAATTACAACACATCAAAATCTCTCTCCCAAACTTTCTAACTTTTGCTGTAATAGTATTTGTATTCATGAACTCATAAATATATTATTACTGTATATAAAAAGTACACTTACAAATTCCAATTACCAAAGACTGTATTATAATTTTTCCCTCCCTTTTTTCCTATGTCTTAGTTAATTTAAACAGTATTAGTCAGTGCATTTTGTTTTCTTGTATTTTAGGTATGATGTAGTTTAGGAAAGGAATATTCTTATTGGTCCATCTAGCAGTCAAGCAATTTTCTGAATATATAATTCACAAATCTAAAGTCCTTATTTGGTTGGGTTATCTATTTGACCTTGCTCAAATCTATAACATGTAGTCTCTGTATGACTAGAGGATTGGTGTAAGTATCAAATCCTGATTAACATTGATTTACACACAGGACTGCTACAAGGTATTGCACTTTATTCCTTATTGTTTTGAGGTGGCCTTTGACTTTGGTGGGTCATTTAGATAGTTTTGTATATAATTTCACTGCAAATTTTGTATTTTATGTTTTCAGGTAGACTAGCTAGAAGAAACAACACGACGGAAATTCCAACAGAGGTGCCATGTTGGATGTGGAGAAGGATTTCTTCAACATCCATGTTTTACAATTCAAATACAAACATACTTTAGTGTCAGTATAGTGTGGATACATTCTTTCCCTATTGTATGTCAGCATGGCTCAAATAGAGGAATTTGTCATAGGTGCTCTCAGCACCAGCTGTGCTGGGTTTTTCACGAACCCATTGGAAGTAGTTAAAACGAGAATGCAGCTACAAGGAGAACTGAAAGCGCGTGGAAAGTATACCGTCCATTACCGCAATGCCTTACATGCATTTTACACCATCGCCAAACAGGATGGATTCATCAAGCTACAAAACGGCCTTGTTCCTGCTATCTGGTACCAAATGACCATGAATGGTTTTCGTCTTGGTACATATCAGGTCATCACAAACAACGGACTTACCAAGGACAAAAACGGAGACGTGGTCATTTACAAAAGTATTGGTGCCGGTGCTTTCTCAGGATGTGTGGGGGCCTTTATGGGAAGTCCATTTTACATGGTAATCAATTCATATGAAAGAACGAAATGCTAAGGTCTTGTAAAAATATTACTATTGATCTAAATGTCTATCAATAATGTTGCTACAGGAAAAATGTTATATTTAATACATCTCTAATGGTGTTTCAACTAACAAAATTTGTGCTTGTCTTATACTGGTCCATCGATTCATGTACCATATTAGCCATAATTAGTGTCCCTCCCCTTATTAGCAGCACTTCCCATTTCTAGCAGTTATTAAATGATACAAGCTTTGGTATTTCTTTCCTGTATTACAACTTGCCGAATCCTGCTTCGAATAACCCTATTTTCCAATTATAATTACAGGACCCCTAAAATCTGAACACCCTTGTTCCCATGAAATGACAACTTCAAAAATTCCATTCTCCAAAATGATGATGTATATGACTTAAAGCAATGAATACTGAAAAAGCTCATTGATGAGGACCCCCAATTTTCAGTCAAGGGGGTTCAACTGACTCCCAAAGTGAAAATGGGAAGTAAAATACTGAATACTGAAAACACAACGAAATTTCGAAGGGATATATATATATATATATATATATATATATAGGATTCAGCCCATACTATGTTACACTCTTTGTTATAGCTCTAGCATATTTATTTCTCAACGGAGTTTCATAAAGGTTCATGAATATAAGTGTTTGGTATGGCAATGACTTGCAGAAGTTTGTGTTTCGGGTTTCTACATATGAACTTTGAAGGTCAAGTTCACTGTTACTTGTTTTAGAAAGACCCTTTGTCAACGCTCTAGCGACTTCATTCTTCTACCGAATTTCATGAAACGTCATACAAGTGTTTCGTTTGGCAATGCCTTGAACAAGTTCGCGTTTCTGGTTTCAATGTTGAAGGTCAAGGTCACTGCAATGTTACTATTTTTAGAAAAACTTTGTCATTCTCTATCGACTTCATTCCTCAAAGGAATTTCATGAAACTCAAGTGTTTGCCATGACAATACCTTCAACACTTTTGTGTGGAAATATTTTTGCTGTCTAATTTTCGAGAATGCAGTCGCTAGTGCAGATAATGATACATCATTGAATTATCTATTCATTTCCTCATACATTTGTCAAACAATGTGTGAATGCGAGGGGATTTGTATCACTTGTTAAGCCTGAAATTGTTACATTTTGTAGGTGAAAACTCATCTCCAGTCCCAGTCTGTGCAGCAGATAGCTGTGGGATACCAACATGACCACCAGGGCATGATGGGAGCCTTCCGTACTGTGTACAGCGAGGGAGGAATTCTGGGGCTCTGGAGGGGGGTTTCAGCTGCCATGTCTAGAGTCATGGTGGGCTCAGCAGTGCAGCTCACTACCTTCTCCAAAGCCAAAGAGGCTATTGCCAAAAAAGAGGTAAACATAAATTTTCCAAGGCCTCCTCTATATATTTAAGCAAATTGGCCTGTATTGGTATCCCATTGTATGATCATAAGAGGTAACATTAGGGGTTTTCTGGGGCCATTTTGAGGGTGATTTCCAGCCACAGTCCTAATGGAAAATGTTGCAGTATGTTTTTTCCAAAACTTAAAAATATCCTAATCTCAAAAATAAATTTGATTTAAATGAAGTGACCTTTTATAAAACAGGATGTTGTAGTCTGTTAGATGACACTTTATTAACAGAATCAATATAAGGTACCATATAATTAAAATAAAATCACAATTTGGGTTACTGCGAATTCCTAAGCCAGGGGCCCCATACCCAAATAGTGAAAAAATGTCCTGGAATTGCTGATACGGGGCACCCCCGACCCCCTTCCTGGAGACTGATATGGGGCACCCCCGACCCCCTTCCTGGAGAATAAGAGGTTTACTTCTGCAGCTCCTTTTTGGCAATACAGAAGAAATGAAAATTAATATGCTCCCTATCGAAGCACTTTGGATGTGCACTTTTTTTCCTTTTCTCTCCAACATGTGGCTTTGTCTTCTTTTTGGGGGTGTCTCCCTAGGATCCTACAGTTAGGGCAGGTAGCCCGTCATGCTGTTTTGTACAGATTGTAACATTTGGGTTGCTCCATCATCTGTCTACACATGACTATGATGCAAAATAGCCCCACGAAAATATGATTATGGTAATGGTGGTTACAAAAAGTGCCTCCCTTCCTCCCGCAATGCATTTCTGGAATAGTCCTAAATTTTCCCTGCAGTTTAATTTTCGCCTTTTTCGCCCTCCATGATTGGGGCAAATTTATCATTACTGTGAATTTAAGTCAACAGCACATTATACATAGTATAGTAATGAAATATGAAGAGTGAAATTGACACTGGGTGGAAATTGTTTTCATGGGTGAAAGGCGAAAGTTTGACCAGGCAAAAAATTCTTGATATACACTATGCATTTTCTATGGCTACTAGCTATATAGACAGAGAGTACATAATATATGTCTGTAGTATTAACAGACCAGATACTTTTGTAGAATTTATCATACCTTCATGAAATGTACAGTACTCTTGAGATGTCCCTCTCCCCCAAATTCAATACACAGCCGTACTGGTTTTCCTGATGCTATGGTCCTGACTCAAACCTGTTCACAATTTTAATACCAAGAAAAAATCACGATTGTTAATGTGTGTTTCAGGTGTTTCCAAAGGGGAGTGCCTTCGTTTCGCTGTGTGCTAGTACAATTAGCGGTGTAGTGGTGACTTGTTTCATGACACCATTTGACGTGGTGTCCACACGAATTTACAACCAAGGCCTGGACGCTCAGGGAAAAGGTCTACTCTACAGAGGAGTACTGGACTGTTATTTAAAAATCTTCAGGGAGGAGGGACTTTGGGGGTTTTATAAGGGGTGGGGGCCTTCATTTCTCCGTCTGGTGCCACATACAATGCTTAGTCTATTATTCTGGGACCAGCTTAGAGACGCTTACTGCAGATTTAAAGGAGGAAATGTATGATATTTGATAAATTGTTTCTTGTAGAATACAATGCATTTCATAACTTATTTAATCAGCAAAAACAATCTTATCAAATATTTTTCAAAAACAATGTAATCCTGTGTTAAAGGGACTATAATGGTTAAAATCACTGTTAAAAATTATCATAAAAAATGCCACAAAACTTACACTTTCTCTTAATAACACAAATTAAAAGTGTCTGCCAACATATTTGATAATTGCGTGAAATAATCTAGTTCTAATTCTGGCTTCTGCTAAAATAATAGTTTTCATGATTTTAAACAGATTTACAATGGGTTTATTTTTGCATTGTCCTATATATATTCAGAATCAAAAAACATGTTTTAGATTTGTATACATCTTTTCTAGTAAGCGGTACCTTTTGTATAACATGTATGATGATATTTTAGCCCAAATCAATGAACTCAACCAGATCAATGCATGGTAGAGTCTACTAAAGTTACATAGGGGTGAAAGGGTTAAAGATGACAGGTGAAATGTGTTAAAAATTACTTAACTCAGTTACCCCTGAAAAGTCATTTGAACTCCTCCAATTCAAAGGTTGGAAAAGTTCATTATGAAATTTCAGTGGTGAACGAGTTAAAATAGCTTCTCTTTAAACATGTTCTTAAGGTTTTTATATAAGCTATGATACTTGTAGCTTCATTGGATGAAGGATTAACAAGTTTGTTCAAATTTGTGACCTGATACAGTTTACAAGTCTCATTTATATGTATGTGCTGATGATACTTATCTGTAACTCTTGTGTTCACTTGTGATATACATTTGTATATGTATTTATATATGAGTCTTGTATTCATTACCTGTGAGTTTAGCATTAAGAATCTCTATCCCATCATAGGATGTATTTCCCCCCCATGGATTCAGTTACCTCCCCTGAATTTTGTATTGGATATAACTGTAACTTGACTGAACCAAGATATAACTGTTGACCATCTCAGTTGGTTATAGTGGCCGTGACTGGAGGTCCAGTGTTTAAATCCTGGTCAGGTCCAGTTGCATTTTTTACACTCAGCACATTGTTGTTTAATATACCGTATTTGACCACAAGTAAGCCCTCACCCCTAGTGAAAAAAGATTGACAAGAAGTAGGGAGGGGCTTAATTGCGAGTATCCCCAGTTACAAATGTCCACTATCTTGCATATACCGCTGTTTTGATCTATGACCACACTAAATCTCATATTCGTATAGTTGTTCATGTTGTAAAAATAACAACCAACAGGCAGGAGATTGAATAAAGGTCGCCTCAGGTTGATTAGCTGTTTTTCTGAATCTATTTTCTATTAATAATAAGTCCCAATAATTCATTAAACACCATTTTGTAAAATTTATTATTGAAATGTATTTCTATATTTTATAATTGAATATTCATCAATTAAAAAAAAAAGGGATAGTTTTCTTTAAGATTTATCGAAATTAAAGTCAAACTGCAAACAAAGTTTCTAATACATAGCTGCAGTTTTTGGCAGTGGTACGGGGATCCTTTTATTACCTGTGACACAGGTGGCAGTGAAATAATTGCCAGCTTATATATTGTTATTGTAAATGTGAAGGAGGATGACAGATTCTCATGTTCGTGCTGTTAACATATCAGGAATAAAAGATGGAATTTTCATCGGGTATTAAGAGAAATATGTCAGTGATTTATAACGTGAATCCTAAAATTAAGCAGTACACCTCTAAGTTTTGAAATTTATAAATTAACGGGTTTTATGCACCACCCCTTCTGTCTTAACACACCTATTCAGATGACCAACTTTTTGGCCCCTATCATCACTGATGTCCTAGAAGGACAAAACAGCTGTATGATGCACTGGAATTCATGTTTGGCTTACTGTATCTATAACCAAATCATTCACCCCTGAAATTTTGTAATGAACTATTCCAACCTTTGAATTGGAAGAGCTCAAATGTGTCTTCAGGGGTGAATGAGTTAAAGGTGCAATCACTTGAGTGTGTGTTAGGTTCACTCTTCAGTTTGTCAAATAAAAGCAGAAATACTTTCATTATCATTAAAATTTTCATTTATTTGATTAGAATTGTGAGTAATGTTTGTATAAAAGTTTCGCTATCTGTACAGTGACATTGCTGTGTAAAGCTCGCTCAACACAGAACATATCCATATCCCCTGAGGGAAGGTCCTTCAAAACATATAGCAATGCAAGACTCAAATTGAAGACAAATGTAAGTAAAATCACATCAAAATACCACAATACCTATGGTAAACAATGCTGTACATGTTCTCAGAGTTTTGTCTACAGAAAATATATCGGAAAGATGCTGCTTAGACACAAAGGTCACAGAGTTTAAATATCTAAAGGTCAAAAAGTAACAATCTTTTGCCAGTAGCATTCCGGGTGAACAGTTTTCAGGTAAGATAAATTTTATTTAGAGTCGGTGGGTATATAACAAAGTAACATAAGCTCTGAAGAGCTTTTGACCGACATATACATATTCACATACAGATACATGGTACATAAAATGCAACACATTAAGACATCAATTACTTATATCACACACATATTGTTCATATATTACTTTGATTATAGGTATAGTGTTTCACAACACTCAAAGTCCATATACCATTTATCAATAAATTTAATTAAAATAAATTTAATTAAAACAAAGCTTTGAAATTAAAAGTTTTCAATGGAGACACTGTAGGCTGGATAAAGAGAAGATGAGGTTTGTACAAATAAATTAAATGACCCTGACTTATTTTCAAGGGGTGAAAGATATTAAACCTTCAAACAACTTGCTCTGAAGATTCATAAAGTCTAGTGTATGAAGGACTCTGTTTAAGTGCATGACCTTAACACACTCACTGTCACAGGGCTTCTTGAAATCTTTAAACGGCTTGTTTTAAAGATCCTAAACTTTGAGTAACAATATTAGGCTGGTACATCGGGTATGTTCAAATGAATATGGCATAGATCCACATTTTAGCTAGCTGGTATAAAATTAGTTAAGATCTTCAATGAGTTTCCTCTAAATATGGCTATATACCTGTAGCATGCTGTTTTGAAGGCTATTAAGTTTGAATATATTATCTTGACCTGAGTAACATTTCTTGAAACAACTTCTCTCAAGGTACTTGAATTCAAGTGTAGTACATACATGTATATTTATATTTAGGCTGGGATTGAATGACGTTCACCAATTTTGAATGTCACGAGTAAATTACAAGATACAGTTTTCATATACAGATAATAACAGATAACAAACTAACCCTCTACCCCCGGGGACGGGGGTAGAGGGTTAGTTTGTTTAGACTTGTTAACACTCTTGCAGCCCGGGGATCGAGAAAAGAATATACAGGCATCTTCTGTTACCCAATGCATGTTGTGAAAGGCAACTCATGCAGATTTGGGAGTTTTCTTCTGTGTGGGAGCTTTCTACAGAATCTGGAATTTGTTTTGTGCACTCCACTTAGGGACACAAAAGTGACCAAAGTTCTAATATGTTGCACCGATTACAATTTTCGGAATCTATATATTTCTCTCTGCTGCTAATTGACTACCTTTTGTTTCCTTGGTTGGCAAGACTTCATTGTCGGTAGTATTGAACTTTCGCCCAGGTGAGGAAGGAAGTGGTGCTGCTCTCAGGCCGGGGCTTACCAACGTCCTTAAAATGGTCCTTGTTATTCCCTACTTGACGTTCAGTATTTAGGGTAATGGCAACAATTGGTCCACCCGGTGTCCGTATAATGTTACCGGGCGGAATGCTGTGCTGGTTGTCATGGTATTTCAGTGAAGTAGGACTATAAAGTCGTCAGATCTGCACTATCACAAGAAGACAAATCCACCAATATACCCTGCCTCCAGCCACCCAGCACACATACATGCATACACAATGTAAATGGAGACACGTCCTTAAATGGTCATAGCTGTGAACAGAGCGTAAAACAATATAAAACCAAAACCACAGCATGGTGTGAGAGGCATCATGTATAGAGCCCCTTTGTTATACTCAAATATACCCTGTCTCCACCTGATACAATATAACACTCATGCGGACATATATTTAAGGTTTGAAATGCATCTTTTTAACATCTATGAGGGTATGCAACACAGTTCCGTTCAAACATATTCCATGATACGTGTTAAATGTAAAAAAGATGTATTTTAAACCTTATATTTACATTCTATTACATCCACTTTTATTATTTGAAATTAAGAAAAAATAGACTTTTTTCACATTTAAAAGCAAAACACCGTCATGAAATTCGCGGGAAAGATGATGCGTTGAGCAATAAACAAATAGTTCCACTTTGCATATTTTTCAATAATTTAATTAACATTACCAGCATGTTTAACTAGAGTTGGTTATCTTAAAACTGAAAGTAGATCTAAATTTAAAACAAAAATACCATGTAAAATATTTTTGTTGCAAAAAGTCAGAGTATAATACTCGCTTTAGTTTAAACTAATTGGAGCAAAGTAAGGCATATTCTGGATCGCGGAATCAAATGTAGTATCATTCCCCGATACCGAAGACAGATCAGAATCTGCTGGAAATACTGTATCCAATACAATATTTTGCCATAATTGTTCAATTTATCCAGGTAAGTGTAAGAGATACAGGTCCCATAGGCCTTACGTTCATTTGATAAATCGTTCATTATAGAACCTTTTAATCATTATCTTGCAAATAAATAACATATCTGATTCTGCCTCCGCGGTCATTAGCACTATAGATTTTTCACATGTAATTATTTTCCAACACTCCAACACACGCAGGTCTGGTGTAAGAATCGGCCTGCGGTATCCATATGCATGATTTCGTAAGAGCCGTGTGTTGTCTTCTATTTTCTTTATAGGAGACATTGAAAAATCAAAATATATCTGCAGCAATCGCCTCTTACGACACCAGAATAGGACACATAATTCCTAGAATCTGCACGGGGACGGGGGAAGAGGGTTAGTTTGTTTAGGCTTGTTAACACTCATCAACCCGGGGATCGAGAAAAGAATATACAGGCATCTTCTGTTACCCAATGCATGTTGTGAAAGGCAACTCATGCAGATTTGGGAGTTTTTTTCTGTGTGGGAGCTTTCTACAGAATCCGGAATTTGTTTTCTGCACTCCACTTAGGGACACAAAAGTGACCAAAGTTCTAATCTGTTGCACCGATTACAATTTTCGGAATATATATATTTCTCTCTGCTGCTAATAAACTACCTTTTGTTTCCTAGTGCCTTGGTTGGAAAGACTTCATTGTCGGTAGTATTGAACTTTCGCCCAGGTGAGGAAGGCAGTGGTGCTACTCTCAGGCCGGGGCTTACCAACGTCCTTAAAATGGTCGTTGTTATTCCCTACTTGACGTTCAGCATTTAGGGTAATGGCAACAATTGGTCCACCCGGTGTCCGTATAATGTTACCGGGCGGAATGCTGTGCTGGGTGTCATGGTATTTCAGTGAAGTAGGACTATAAAGTCGTCAGATCTGCACTATCACAAGAAGACAAATCCACCAATATACCCTGCCTCCAGCCACCCAGCACACATACATGCATACACAATGTAAATGGAGACACGTCCTTAAATGGTCATAGCTGTGAACAGAGCGTAAAACAATATAAAACCAAAACCACAGCATGGTGTTAGAGGCACCCTTTGTTATACTCAAATATACCCTGTCTCCACCTGATACAATATAACACTCATGCGGACATATATTTAAGGTTTGAAATGCATCTTTTTAACATCTATGAGGGTATGCAACACAGTTCCGTTCAAACATATTCCATGATACGTGTTAAATGTAAAAAAGATGTATTTTAAACCTTATATTTACATTCTATTACATCCACTTTTATTATTTGAAATTAAGAAAAAAATAGACTTTTTTCACGTTTAAAAGCAAAACACCGTCATGAAATTCGCGGGAAAGATGATGCGTTGAGCAATAAACAAATAGTTCCACTTTGCTTATTTTTCAATAATTTAATTAACATTACCAGCATGTTTAACTAGAGTTGGTTATCTTAAAACTGAAAGTAGATCTAAATTTAAAACAAAAATACCATGTAAAATATTTTTGTTGCAAAAAGTCAGAAATTTATTCCGTGTTCGCGGAGAAAGCTGACCGTTAAAAAACGGTTGTGCAGCGGCTACGCTCATCAGGCAACGAAGCGGTTCGACTTCAACGAGACAGAAAGTGCATCCGTGAAATGTGGAGTTTCCTTAGAAACCAGATGACGATTTAAAAGATTTAAAAGATGCTGCCGTTGGCTGAATTCTTGTGTCGATCGACTGTGTCAACAGGACTAACTCATCGTTTGAGCATTCGGCATGTATTAGGCCTACCAGGCGCGTAGCTAGCCCCTTTACCATGTGTAAGCCCGACATAGGGTTGCCAAAGGCAGCCCCCCCCCCCCCCCTCCGGAAGCACGAGCAGGGGGGGAGTATGGGAGGGGGTCTGGGGGATCTCCCCCATGAAAATTTTGTTTTCTAGAACGTCTCAGGAGCCATTTACCACGTCTTGATGTCTGTTTTCTCGTTTTAATCCGCAAGAAAAAATTCCTATGTTTTGTATATCTTTATACCTATTTACGTGGATCCAGTGTAATTCTGAAGATTAACCGTCGGTATTGCTTTGTACACCCTCCATACATACATTGTCTGGTTTTACCTAATCTTGATAAATGCATTTGATACTTCTGCATTAGTGAACATGCAATTGGGTTTGTCTTTCTCATAATCTGATCCGAGTTAATTGGGAAGCGAGGTTACCCCCACTGTCACCTTTACTCAGTCTCGTCTTCTGTTTGTGATTTGTAACTGGTTCCTTATACTTGCTCCTGTTATTTGTTGGTCATTTCGAGAAGCGAGGTTGCCCCACTAACTATTAACAATGTATCATATCTGAGGAATTACATATGTATACTATATATTCAAAACTTAAACTCCACTTTATAGTATCAGCAAGAAGAAAAAAACGTGATGAAAACCTATACTTGTCAAAATCATGTGCAAGCCCGGGCTTATTGGATTACATGGTAGCTACGCGCCTGCTTACTATCGATGAAGGGACTGGCCGACGAGCCGGGACGATTTCACCTGCTTCGCGACTTGCAACGGACGCTAGTGTAGATTCTAGAGGACAGTGAATTGTTCTGTTCTGTTGAAAAGGACCTGTTATAGGATCATATAGCAGACACGCTTCGGTGGCCCTCCATAAACATGATGTGCCTTGATTCAAAACCAGTCATTCCGAAGCTAATTACCGTTAACACAAAATTACAGTATACATTTACATACTAGCTTAAGGATCCCCATACCACTGCCAAAAGCTGTAACTTCGCCTTGCAAACTAATTCCCCCCGACATGACTAAAGCGTTGATAAATCATTTATAAAAAGCCAGATGTTGCGTGACTGTATAAAATATAACCAACAGCAGTTTTCTAAGTGACAAACTTCACCTTGCTAGACCGGGATACGAACCCTGGACTTTAGACTGTTATACTGTTACTATTCAGTGGTCATGAAAACCACTGAATATGTTGAATTAAGAGATATATCGCTGTTTTTGATTATGTATACGGACGATACTGTCCTTTTTTCTGAGTCCATAGAAGGTCTTCAGACTATGCTTGATACCTTGTATGACTATAGTACCACATGGAATATAAGGGTCAATGTGGCCAAAACGAAAATCGTTGTCTTTCGTAATGGCGGTAACCTTTCAAATAATAACAGATGGTATTACAATGGAAAAACCATTGAAATTGTTGAGTCTTTCAATTATCTGGGTGTAACATTGTTTTATAATGGAAAGTTTACCCAAACTCAGAATATTATTAGTCAGCAAGGTCGAAAATGTGTATACCGCATAACGAATATTTGTAATAACAATTTTTTTAACATTGAAACTAAAATATACGTATTTGATATTTATGTTTCAAGTGTATTAAACTACGGCTGTGAAGTATGGGGATTCCATGCTGCCCCTGACGTACAGAAAGTGCACATAGATTTTTGTAAGCGCTTACTTAATGTTAGAAGGTGTACTCCAAACAATATGTTGTACTCTGAACTTGGCAGATTACCACTTTGTATAATACGGAAAATGAGAATAATTAAGTATTGGTTGAAATTACTTGAAACAGATAACTGTATTTTGAAAGCCTTGTATAATGATATGTTGTCTGAAGTAAATACAAAGGCCAACTGGCTTAGTAATATGAAATCAATGTTAATGTCTCTAGGTTTTGGATATGTTTGGTATGATCAGAAAGTTGTATGTAAGAATCAATTTATATTGGACGTTAAACTACGTCTCCGTGATGTTTTTATACAAAATATGAACACTTTTTTTGAAAACTCTACGAAATGTTTTTTATATAGATGTCTGCCCGAGGTTAGTTGTCTTCAGTATTATCTTTGTAAATCTTTTCCTGAATCTTGTATTTTAACCATTGCGAAATTTAGATTATCTTCTCACGACCTTCGTATAGAAAGGGGCAGATATGAGAGAATACCTCGTAATGAAAGACTTTGTTTAAAGTGTAATTCAGGCGATATAGAGGACGAATTGCATTTTATTCTTGTTTGTCCATTTTACAACGAAGTAAGAACACAATATATTGACAGATATTACAGAATTAGACCGTCTATGTTTAAATTAATTAATTTACTTTCTGTTAGAAGTAAGAGGCAATAGAATAATCTTTCCAAATTTTTAATTTCTGCTTCACAATTGAGATCAAATGAATAATTACATATATTGTCCATCCTCCATAATATGTCTGTATTGCTGTGTATCACTCACTCAATTTTGTAAAATGTATTGTAATGTTTATGCTGATAAGCCGAAAGGCTAAAGGCCAATAAACTAAACTAAACTAAACTATAATCCACTAAGCTACATGGTCAATTTGAGTTCACTTGCTCATCTGTGCTACAGTGTTATCCCAAACGAGAAACCATAGTGCTATGGGACAGGGATCCTTGAGGTTACACGAGGGTATACATTACTAGCTTTGTATAACCCATCGGTAGTTTTGTCGTTTGTGCGTACAGTACAATTACACACTACAGGGAACTTCAATTGTTATTTAGCATTCCTCGGATATCTTTTCGCACGTGTTAAGTTTCCTGTGTTGTCCACTGTCTACGAATAAAAAAATATGGAGCTCATCTGTGCCAGACAACCATCGTGTATAATTGACAACATTAAGAATACTCTTTTGATGAAAAAATCTCACATCGGACGAGACTTTCTCTAATTACATAAATTGTGATACTATACAAACGATATGTGTATTTGCATACGAACGATTTGTGTATTTGCAAGCATGTGTTTATCTTAAATTGCGAATAGTTTTTGAACCCTTATGCTCTTGCATTGAATTTGGTGTGGTAACTCATAATGCCCTTCAGTTACTACTACTTGAAAAAACCCTGCAGGTTCGGGGAAAATTGGCCTGCCATATCCCAGTACATGTCGAAGGAGACTAAAACCAAAGATTATTGTTGGTGAATATGGCTGGTGTGCAATTGATGTGAAAAGCCTGTCAAATTGCTCCATAACAATTTCTGGCTTTGTTATTGTTTTATTACGTGATCTTCATTTTGGTTTGTCATCAACAAGCCACCGTACTGAAACTACACACAGAGACAGAATAACATTAAACACTTTTAAATGTAGAAAAACATAGCTCGAGGCTGCATTGACTGGCCGACATGACACTGGCTAAGAAACAATAATAATGATTCGAGGTTTTATATACCGCATTATCACAACCTAGTTCGTTGGTATTTTCAAAGCGGTTCACAAATTATCATCTGTGAGTATAGGGCCTTTGAAACCAGCCAACATCTTTCTCAACTCCCTGGGTAGCATACATCCGGTGCTGCCATTTCGGCGCTCACAGCTAGCATTCTACAATTCTAGAACTGCTCAACCACGTACTTATTTACAGGTAAGTTCAGTGATTTTTATATGCTAATATACACCATAATTTTTGAACCCTAATGCACTTGCATTGAATTTGATGTGGTAATTCATAACGCCCTTCAATTACTACTACTTGAAAAACTCCTGCAGGTTCAGGAAAAATAGGCCTGCCATATCCCAGTACATGTCGGAGGAGACGAGTAAGGCTGACCCCTGGGTGGAATTAGGGGTTGTCATCTGTGTCCCCTGCTTAGGAGATATCGACGAAATCATAATTGATGTGCTGCACCATTGCAATTTCTTCTCTTTTCTTTTTTTTCAAACCCCAAAGCTGGGCGAAGCTGTAAACACTTTGTCCACTTCTGGTGCTTCCCCATGCGTGAAAGCCTTCTGGGAAATTGAGGCCGCATACTGTCTACAAAAATATGATGGTAAACCCTTCGGTTTCGGTATTTATTGCAGTTTACTTGTGAAATATCATGAATTCTCTATTTAATAAAAACATATCTTTAACAGTGAAGACAAACGAAACATTATATCTTCACAAGCAAAAACTTCACTCTATAAGTATTGTCCAATCTGAACGGTACATTATATTTTCTGCGTAGATTTTCAGTTTCAAGTTCAGATGAAGTGACGGCAGAATAAGTGGTTGTGCTGTCTACCTTTGCAGCATACAATATTGTTTTTACATAACTTCACAATTAATATCATTTTTGTCTGAAAATCTTACCATATAATACTAGCAAACGGCAAAATTGCAGTGAAAACCCATTCAAAATGGCGCTTTGTATTGTTGTCAGGCATGACGTCATTATAACTTGGCGTCAAAAACTAGGTTATACATTCCCGTGCTTTTCTGGTGTAGCAAATAGCAAACCTAAACAGCGGGCAAACATACACATAAAACTACTATTTCCTACATTACTTAACAGTTACATTTTGTGTACTGTCAGTAGAGTGAACATCCAGTCCTCGCGTTATACAATGGTTCAATGGATGTAATGTTATGTTTTCTTCGTGCTAGGTGCGGGGTGGGGGTTCGGTTCGGGGGTGGGGGGGTTAAACCAGGATACCTTATCTCCCATCCCTCCCTTAACCCCATCAAGTAAGCATGTGTAGCCAACATCCCGTCTAATGTTTTGTTTACACTACCCTAGTTCTCATTATGAGGACCTGACATTATTTGGATTTGACCTACAGTTGCATGGCGAATGCCGGCGGTAGTGCAGAGGACACGTTCTCTTCCGGAACACCTGATCAGTATTTTCCTTTTTTTTTCAATAGTCACCATGTAAATATTTCCATGGTTCTGGTTTTGCCCCAGTTTTGTCACTTTTATTTCCAAACTGTTGCATCCTACAAGATGTCGGATTAAATAGGTTTCTCCGAGGCTAATTATATTTGTTGTCATAAACTTTGCCTCCAAATTATTCAATTCATCAGGAATAATATCATAATTGTTTCAGAAACGATGGATATACAGATTAACTTAGAACCAGCTGAGAAACAACCTCTAAACTCCGAACATGAAGGTGAAGGAAGCCGTGAAAACGGAATTGACGTCCAACGTGACGTATGGGCACGGAAGGCGGAATATTTACTGGCTCTTATAGGTTTTTCCGTGGGTTTAGGCGTGGTTTGGAGGTTTCCTTACCTCTGTATGCGGAACGGGGGAGGTAAGTAATCAATTTATATGCTTGCTATTTTTATTGAGTTGGGTCAACTTTCGGCCCCACTTCAATTTCTTTTATTGTTTCGCCATGTGTACATGTAGATACATAAAATGAAAAATGATTGCATCTATGATTATTCATTATTACTACTGATAACCGTAGTGGACCTCCTTGCATAACACCAGGTTTTGTAACGGGTGTATACAAGCAAAATTGCAGTTAAATGTCACAGGCAAATATAATTTTGAAAATGGACGACGATTGAGTATAGTGATTAAAATTACTGTTACTGTAACAAAAACATGCAAAATTTTCATAAAATTTAAAATATATCCAACATTATCAACTTGCCTGTGTATGGTTACAATGGTAGTCTATATTTCATACTTTCTAGACACTTTCCAGATATATATTCTGTCTACCGAATTATTTTTATGCAATATCAAAACCGGTAAAATACTTTTTTAGCATGCCATATATATGCCCCTATATACCAATTTTTATAAAAATCGAACAATATCTAAATTTCGACCAATTAGAAGCCTCCGTGCTGTTGCTATTATAAAGATACGTATGCGGTTTTATTCGGAAACCACTTATATCCTTATATTTACATTTGCATGGCATTGTCACTATATAGCCTCTTTGAAAGCTGTGTCGTTGATGGGACTTTAATTACCATTCCGCACGAGCCATAATTACCATGCCGCACGAGACACAATTCTTAGCGTATTAATTACAACACTGACCGGAACTACAATATCCAATGTAAATAAACATGACGGCTGCTGAAATATCGCTGGGCATTGTGAGATTTGATAATGTCATTGTAAATTTATGTGCAAAATAAAAAATAAAATAAAAAACACTTTTATTACAACGAAAACAAACCAAGGTCTGCAATATCGTACAAAATGCACATCGGTTGAAATCACCAATGGCAATGCCGGCAATGGAAACAATTTTAACGCTCATGCAATTTATCAGAAATATCGTCTGTTACCAGTCGATCGAAAAACGAAAATAATTTTGCGCACCGCCTGTCATACACGCACACTCAGATAAAATTTCGTTGAATTCCGCACGTTTTTGAGAAACATGTCGGAAACCTCGTCGGAGGAAGAAACAGGAAGAAATAAGAATAATAATAATAAATAGAATTGCAATTGCGAGCAATAGCGGAAGTCACCCCTCTCCTGCTTAGTACGCAGCCATTTTGTTTTTTCACAAAACGAACACCGCAGTTGTGTTCGTAGTGCCATACAACACCTACATACCAAATTTCATCAAAATTGGATGATATTTAAATTTCGACCAATCAGAGGCGGGGAAATGGCAGCTATTTTGTGTTTTTCACAAAATGAACATATATATGTATATGTGATCCCTGTCACTCTGGTAAAATACAAACTTTTTCAAACTTTTTCAAACTGATTATTTTGGCTCGGGGAATTTCTTTTAACTCAATCGGCGTCAGAAAAATACAACAGACGTCCCGGGTGAGATCCTTAACGGCGATATTGAAATATCAATTACCACGGTCACATACCTGCCGCATTGAGCCGTGAAAAAGACTATAATGAATGTGGTTACCGGTTAAATACTTTCTTATCTCTGTCTCCATATGATGTTACCTGTTCGCTTACCTGTAGTCACGTACATGGGCGTCTATACACTTTGACATACCCTATACGCTACGTTCCATATACAATTGATTTTAAAATGACCCCTGTATTTGCTTGTCTAGGTCTCTGTCTCCACGCTCCGTACTAGGTCTACCTATAAATGAGAAAGGTCTAATAGAACGAATGTTATTACTCGATATGATTTCGACTTTGAAATTTTGACCAATGAGAGGCCAGGAAATGACAGCCATTTTTTTTTTTTTTTTACAAAACGAACACCACAGTTGTGTTCGTAGTGCCATACTATACCTACATACCAAATTTCATCAAAATTGGACGATAATTTTATTTCGACCAATCAGAAGCCTGCATTTGGCCGCCGTTTTGAATCCAAAGTCAATTAAATTTTTGTCGAAAACGAGCGCTGTGCCGTTATAATCCCTTTCACTGAGTTTCATTATGTTCGATGAAATAAAACGAATGTTATTACTGGTGATATGATTTCGCGTTGAATTTTTGACCAATCAGAGCCCAGGAAATGGCAGCCATTTTGTTTTTTCAAAAAAACAAACACCGCAGTTTTGTTCGTAGTGCTATACTACACCTACATACCAAATTTCATCGAAATTGGACGAGATTAAAATTTCGACCAATCAGAAACCTGCATTTGGCCGCCATTTTGAATCCAAAGTGAAATATTTTTTGTTGAAAACGATCGGTGTGACGGTATCATCCCTTTCACTAAGTTTCATTATGTTCCGTCAAATAGAACGAATGTTATTACTGGATATGATTTCGGCCAATCAGAGCAGCGGCAGCCATCTTGGATGGTTGACGCGGGGGGAAAAAAAGTCAGATGCACAACTACAAATTGTACTGATTATGTATGCAAAGTTTGATTAGAATCCCATCAGTAGTTCCTAAGATTAAGTAAGAAACGGAACAATAACAACAAGTCACCCGACTTCGTTCGAGGTGTCTTAATAAGAATAAGTAAGAAACGGAACAATAACAACAAGTCACCCGACTTCGTTCGGGATGACTTTATAAGTTGGAAACGAAACAATAACAATAAGTCTCCCCGACTTCGTCTAGGGTGACTTAATAATAATAAGAAACGGAGCAAAAACAATATGTCCCCATATTTTGTTTGGGGGACATAATTATCCGGTTGTCATTTTTTGGTATTCCTGATGGTGAAAGATGTTATCGGAAGACAACTTTTAAGCAAGTATGAAACATAGACTCGTTTTAGAACTATGCAAATTAACGTGTCAAAAATGCTTAAATCTTTAATGAAAGCCGATTCCAACAAAACTTTATCTGTATAATCCAACCGGTCTCATTATACCGACAACGGGTAAACCAGTCCTTCAGACATCCAATATGAAATAACATTACTTGAAAAACCCTCAGTTTTCTGGTGGATTCCTTTTTTGCCCGTCTCCTGCTTCCTTCAATATATTCATTATCTATTTCCTTTGTGGAACTACAAACTCAATTCCTCCCATTTCAGAACTGGACGACATCTATCGAGATTGCTCTATATATACTAGTAAAAATCCTGAGTATGGTAATCTGTTTTGCTAACTTTTTCAGCCTTTAATTGCAAAACTTTTAGATTAATGATTTGATGGCTCAAATTAAACCATATTATATAAAATAATATATCGTTTGCCGTTTAACCTAATGTTGGTCAATGATCAAACAGCAGAGCAGGCCGCATAGACACGTTGACCTCTCCAGACTGCGAAGGCAAAAGGAAGGTACGCCTTCATGTCGGGGAGGTTTGTTTTTGTATTGTTTTACGGGCTAATGTGTCCCAATTGAATACTGTAATGGATACCTGCTGCAGCGTATTTCACTTAGGTTGCACTCTAGATTCGGTATCAGATCCTAGTGTCGCTCTAGATTCGGTATCGGATCCATGGTGTCGCTCTAGATTCGGTATCAGATCCATGGTGTCGCTCTAGATTCGGTATCAGATCCATGGTGTCGCTCTAGATTCGGTATCAGATCCATGGTGTCGCTCTAGATTCGGTATAAGATCCATGGTGTCGCTCTAGATTCGGTGTCAGATCCATGGTGTCGTTCTAGATTCGGTGTCAGATCCATGGTGTCGCGAGGAGGCAATTGCACACAAATATGAACAAACAAATTATAAATTTGTATCAAAGATCGACTTAATTCCAATAATATTACGCAAAATAGGTTTTAAATTGGTCAATGTTAGGCACGTCGATATACAAATAGACTGATAGTAAGTACCCGTTCAGAGAGCGAATGCTGAATGCTGTTAGAAAAAAATATCAAAATCAAATATTATTTGGAGTCATCTTGTATTCTTTCTCTTTATTCAGGTGCTTTTTTGATCCCGTTTTTCATTTTTATGGTAATCTGCGGATTTCCACTCTATTTCCTGGAGTTGAGCCTCGGACAGTTTTCTGGGAAAAGTCCGTTGGTTGTGTGGTGTATTTGTCCTCTGTTTCAAGGTAAGCAGACATCAATGGTGATTGAAATACTGTCAACGTATTAACTTTTCAGTGTGCAACTAACAGAACCGGTCGCCGAGAGGAAGTTATCCACTCGCAAATATGCATAGACCTTTCATAAATAACACGTACACGTTTTAGGATAATTAATTAGACAAGCCTTATTTTCACGCATGCCATTAATCTTTTAACAAACCCTTCAAACGATAAATAAATAAATAAAGGTGACTCAATCTCAACACAGTTTGTATTCCCTGCCTACCCTTTCTACAGCGGAGGAAGAAAACGGGTGGCGTATTGGAAACCACAAACCAATTCCACTAGAACACAATGCTAGTAACTTTTTGACGACGTCGCAATTTTAAAAGCAATTCTCAAAGATCGAGTTATTTAAGGTGGCTCTACACATCGTCGTTAGTGTCCATTTTCGTGACGTACTTCCGGAAAAAGTACCGCGGACTCAATTATCTCCATCGAAATGTGCATGTACACTGTGTCGTTATTTCCGTGTTGCGTATCGGACATTTAAATACCGTAGTGTTAATTATAGTAAACAATAGTACACTTGTGTGACGATGATATGTCATCACCCAATATCGAGACTTAATTGGGAAATGTGTAATCACAAGTTCTTCAAAAAAAAATATTCCGATACAAAGACATACACTTTACGGGAAGACACTGACACGAGACAAGACGACTTCAAGAAGGTCATACATATGTATACGAAGCGCATGCAAAGCAGACTGATGTGTTTTGTGTACTGACCCCATATGTGCATATCACGTGCTTACACGAGTTCAAAAGCTCGAGGTCGTTACGACTTTCGCTGTCGAGCGAGTTATGCTCGTAATTAAATATACAATGCGCTAGTATGCTGTAGAATTATGTCCAAAGTGTACGTGATTGAGAGTAAGTGGTTCCGCAAAAGAACAATAATTTCACAATTTTGATATCATAATTTTATCTAATTTTTGACTATCAATTTTGATACATGTAAAAAGAGATAACAGTCTTTGTGTAAATTTTATCACTCTGCAAAAAAATCAGAGGTTTTCAAGGAAGTCAACTCTCACCAGGATCAAAGTGATTGTAAAATGCAAAATAAATAAATTATAATGCCATTGTGTATATTTGGTTCAATTTCCAACTCTTTAACAAGCCATCCTTAAGATAATAAAATGTATTTGAGGTTTCTAGGCTACGGTCACAATAACGTCCATAATTATCGTTCAGATAATACAAACTCAAAAACTTAATTGGTGTTTTTTTAGGTTTGGGATTTTGTATGGTGACGATCTCGTTCATAATTACCTGGTATTATGGCCTAGTGGTAGCTTGGATCCTCTGCTACCTGTTTTACTCGTTCTACCCGACGTTGCCATGGGCATCGTGTGATAATGCTTGGAACTCCGACAGATGTGTAGTCCTTCGTTCAGTCAGGCCTGAAAATGCTTCCCGTTTTGCGTCATCAAATGAAAGCGTTTACTTGAACGTGTCGTATGGAATCAATGTGTCGTATGGAATCAATGCAAGCATCAGTAACAATACCTCATCATATCCGAACCCATCAATGGACTTCTACCCAACCGCCGCTACGGAGTTTTGGAGGTAACATTTGATGCATAATAATGAGTTGGATTGCTGCAGCTTCAATAGCTCCTTGACCATTAAGTATTATTTCATAATTAACTTAAAAGTGTCGTTAAAACATCTGTTGTCCTGAAATGGTATGTTAACAAGTGTTTGGTCATTCGAGATTTGAAGAAACAAGTAAATAAAGGAGTAAGAAATAGTTCATCGTCTTCGTTAACTGATGAATCTAATTATATGTAGCATAACGGAAAACATTTATTAATCACAGATACAGAATTCTGGGCATGTCCTCTGGCATTGACGTGATTGGTACACCACAATGGCATCTAGTACTGGCTTTGTTTGTCGCCACATTAGTGATCTTCTTGTGTGTTATGAAGGGAGTGAGATCAGTTGGTAAGGTAAGTGTTTTTGCAATTGAAGGAAAGAATAAATGTTAAGCCTGCTGTATCCCACTGCATGTTACAGCAAGGTTACAGGTTCGGGAAAAGAATATGTTGCTGTATGTTTTTGTTAGAGGGGACTTATATGGGCTCCCTTGCAAAATATGGGGTTTTCGTCTGGGTCCTCTGCTCATGAAACATTAAGTGCTTGTTAAATTGGGTTCAATGTCCCCTTAATAATTAACGTCAAACGAAGACGGCTACCAAGGGAGCCACAACCGAAAATAAACTGTCAGGAAAATAAGAAAAGATAAAGATTCCAAGTGTTGCGAAGGGGGCAGAAGACAACGTTTGTTTGCTCATATTAATTGATCGCCTAGCAATTGATAATCGGCATTACATTGGTCTGTAATCCAAACTGACCTTAAGTATGCGTTGATTGTTTTACTACAGGTAGCGTACGTGACCGCCACATTGCCCTATCTCCTTCTCACTGTAATACTGATAAGGAGCCTGACGCTGGAGGGATCTCTAACAGGAGTCTTATACTATATAAAGCCTGACTTCTCACGGCTCCTAACTGTAAAGGTGACGCAGAGAACTACACATTGTATTTTGTTACACACTAATTAATCTGCGGTCGTTTGATTTCTAAAACAGCAACACGCTTACATGAATTATGAAGGTTAAAAACAACTAAATTTTCGCAAATAACAACATTTAAGCTTATTCAAATGTCTTATATTGAAAATCAAATTGGATGTTAAAATAAATAGAAGATAATAAAAGGTCAGTTGAGATGCAAATATTGTACTGGATATTCATGTTTTTGGTTTGGTTTAATTTTATTTAACGTCCTATTAACAGCTAAGGTCATTTTAGGACGTGCCGCCATGTGTGTTGTGTTAGCTTGCATGCGTGTATGTGTGCCGGAGACAGGGTGAGTTGGTGTAATCGCCTCCTTGTATTAGTGCGGATCTGATTCCGACTTTATAATGCTATCTCACAGAAATAACATGCCGAAGGCACCCAGCACAGCATCTCGCCAGGCCACATTATACTGAAATGGGTGAACAAGTTGTTGCTATAACCCTAAATGCTGAACGTTTAGCAGGGAATAACAACTACCATTTTTAAGACTTTGTGTGTTTTGAATATTACGAATTAAAAGAGAGAGCATGTTTAAAAAAAAATGGTTTTAGTGACTCCATGAATTGTTTTACATTGATTCGTTTAGGTATGGTTTGAGGCAGCTCTACAGGTGTTTTATTCACTAGGACCAGCCTATGGAGGAGTCATCACTATGGCAAGTTATAACAAGTTCCACAACAAGTGTTTAGGGTACGTTCTCCTCTGCCAATACCGACATCATCTACGCACCGATAAGTAAATGAATACATTATAAACTGTTTTATATTTCATTTCAAATCAACTTTGTTGCATTAAAATACAAATGGATTAAGCACAGGCGTTGCCTATTGCTTGGTATGATATAAGAGACAATTCCAGCTGTGAAATAAGTGTTTTTTTCTCTTTATTCAATATATAATCATAGTCTTATCATGTTTATATGTGAAAATATCATATATAATGATACAGTAAAATAAAATCATGAATCATGTATACTTACAGTCCATCCTTGATATACATGCAAACATCGATCCCCGTGTATACTCCAGCCACTTTGGTTCCCATTAGAAATCCCGTCACCTGTAATATTTGCTTTCATTATTAGATAATCGAGTTACCTGTGTTCCTACGAGATAATCTAGGCACATTTGTAACGAGGCTTGGCTGCATCCTTCACATATACATCGTCGGACGAGATAGATAATCCAATGACCCATCCATTCACATTATTTAGCCTGTGGTTTTATCCAGTTTAGATATCTTTGGAAACTGATGAAACCTTTGAAAAATCGTTAAGGGAGGAAATCTAATTCTATTGCAGTGATGCAGCTTTATGTACCGCGATGGATTGTTTTAGCAACTTTTACTGTGGTTTCGTCGTATTCAGCATTCTAGGATTTCTCGCTCATGAATCAGGATTATCAGTAGAGGACGTTGCGGAGGGAGGTAATATATGCCATTAAAACAAATAATGCTTTCTTTTGATGTATATGAATATCAGACTCATAAATTTATCTCTGGGGCTCTCTCTAAAGCTCAATGAAATATATCTGATCCAACAATACACTCATACACTCTAGGACATCAGATAAACAAATATGGTATTACCTATGTTTCGTTAACAAAAGTGTAATAAACATGCATGCTCTTACTTTATCATGTAGAAACATGAACAAAGGAAGAGCCCATAGCTACTGTTCGATCCTAACAACTTATTTGTATATGTTGCTTATGGCCTTGATGTTGAGCATTAAAGCGAGTGAGGTTTTAATTTCTCTTTCTCCCTTGCCAAAGTCGTTAAAATCGAAATTTGCTATTCTTTGCTTGACATTTAGCTATAAATGGGTGGTGGTTTATATTGTTCAATATCCTCGCAACAGCCAGGATCACTAGGGGACGGGCTTCCAGTGAAACACCACATGAAAATTAGAAATTAGAGGGGTAAAAAAAGTTCAAAAAAAAGGAAAGATAAGAAAGGAAAAAGTGTTGCAATGGGGGCAGCATATCAATCGTAGTCTCGCGAGAACAATTTCGGCGAACAATTGTCATTACATATCCAACAGAAATCTGCAAAGCTACACTCGTGAATTTTTGTAAATCCTCATAATAATGAACCAACGAAAAAACACGTTTGCAGTAATCACATCTCTGTATATTTCAGGGCCGGGACTTGTGTTTCAGGTATATCCAGAGGCCCTATCACGCATGCCCTTGCCACATTTATGGGCCGTTCTGTTCTTCATCATGCTCCTCGCTGTTGGTCTTGATAGCCAGGTAAAGAATCATAATGAACATTCTTTATTTGGATACACTTCTTTGTATTACATGAATGTAGTATACACTTGTTTCATGGTCGTTTTCTTGATGATGGTGAGAATTGTCTCGATATTTTGACAAATTCCTTTGCCAAACTGTAGCTATAATTTGCATCAAAAAGTTAGCAGAGATGCTTATATGTTTATGTTGCTAGAGAGATCGATATGTATAAGTTACCGAAAGGTTAATTATGTATAATTATCTACAAAGGTTATATTTCTTTAATGCTTTGCCTAAGTTTGCACAATTGGAGACAATCCTCGGAGGCCTGCGTGATATGTACCCATCTACGTTTGGGAAGAGGAAAAACCTTCTGCTGATGGTCATGTTCTGTGTATTTCTCTTGATAAGCTTGATATTTGCAACACCGGTAAGTCAACATACTGCCCAAATACACATGAAGCCATGAACATAATATTTAAATAATGCGATATCTAATTTTGAATAAATGCTGTGCATAATTAATGGAAATAATAAGACATCTATTTAGATCTAATCTCATCATTAGAAGTCTTGGTAAACATAAGTCTACTGTCTACTGTTTTGTACTTGTATCGGGGATGTCTTGTGTCTATTAAGGTGAAAACAAAACACAATACAAATGATATATCGTCTACTTTGTCGCACATCGGTTGCAACAGCAGTTAAGACCAGTTTTATCCAACTTTTTGCCCCAGGCATCAAAGCAACGGGTCAAAGGTACCTTTAATATAGAACTTTTTCGTTGGTGTGTTGACGATGTGATGTACTGTATTTTTGCTTGGTTTATTAACGCAGTGATATATGATATCCTCGATATTCCAGGGGATATGCTCACATTCGCTCTCTGTACCCCTGGAATATGCCAAAGCATTATTGAATGTACGTGATTAGCTATTTCATTGGTCTCAGGTAAAAATAACCACTGGCCACTCGCTAGGCTGATACCTGTCCTTTGAAGATTACAGAGGAGCGACACCTGATTTCAAAGTTAGTCAATTGTACCGATTCGCGTCCGACAGATCCTTTTTATACGCCCGTCGAAGACGGGGACGTATTATGTTATCACGTGAGCGGGCGGGCGGGCGGG